CTCTCTCTCTCTCTCTCTCTCTCTCTCTCTGCCAAAAGGGGGTTTTTTTTTTCGCTTCTGACCTCTGACCTCTGACCTCTGATCCCTTTCAGCCCTTTCAGGGGGCCGACGCCCGGCGGAGGGTAGGTTGGTTTTGCTGTCCCGGTCTGTCGCGTAGGAGAGAAGACGAGACGAGCAAGCAACGCGGAACAAACAAACAAACAAACAAACAAACAAACAAACAAACAAAGAAGGAAGGATCTCTCCAGGTTCTGCTGCCTATCCCGTGAAAGAGAGACTCAAGAACAGAGGAACACAAAGAAAAAAAATGCCAGACAGTGAGGTCTCCCCATTGTGCTGTTGTGCAGTGTCGTCAACGCCAAAGAAAGAACATCCCGTCACGGGCCTGGCCAGTACAAAGACCCGCGACAAAGCAGCAGGGGAACAAGGCCAGCCAGGTCAGTATATAGGACCGGCGACAATGTCTATTGTTTCCGTCCGCCAGAGACGAAGCTTGCCGGATCATTCTAGAACGACTTACATACAACGTTGCGATTCGACCGACGTACCCAGACGATACCATCACTTACTATACAGCATATCACGTCACAACATATCGAGAGAGAAGAAAAACAAAACCCTATACAAAGATTGGAGAAAAACAAAACCCACACGGCAGAGGCGACGACGAACAGCTATGTGCGTCACCATCACAGAGTACAGCTGCTCCCACAGAGTCCCCTCGACGAAGCCCTGCTTTGAGTACCGAAAGCAGCACGAGCAGTACCAGAAAGCAAAGAGGAGCCAGGGCCTCTTCCGCTGCTTTCTGAGCACCTCCCTCAAGGAACCGCGCTGTCGCGCGCCCCCGGGCCGGGAAGCCGTCTACGGTCGCGTTTGCGAGGCCTGCGCGCGATCCATCTTGCAAGGAGAGAGGGAGAAGCAGAGGAGGGAGGAGAGGGCGCGGAAGGAGTCGAATCTGAATACCAAGCAGCAGCAGAACCAGATAGCTCAAGATTCTAGGCGCCTTGAGATGACCGTCAAGGAGACGTGGAGGTGTGAGCAGTGCGTGCAGGAGAGACGGACGCCGAGTCGCAGGATAAGGGCGGCGAACGGGGGGTGCTGTTGCGCGAGGGGCTTGGAGGAACTCACTAACATGAGACAGGAGCGCGAAAATCGGAAGAGGAATGCGAAGGGGAAAGGGAAGGGGAACAGATATCCCCAACGACCTGCTGAGCCGCAAAGCTATACGCATTATCAGCGTCCTGGAGCTCCTCGACCAGCTCACATCCCGAGAAAGAAGGAGCGCACGGCGGAGCTGCAGTACGTGACGAGTACTGAATTTATCCGGGGGGCGGCCACCCGAGCGGCAGATCAATACGGCTGGAGCCGCTTGCAGAAGAGAGACTCGGAGTTCCTCGAGCCGGAGCTCGTCGAGGCCTACGTCAACATGCCGGGCGTGGACCCGCGGGTCATCGGTCAGGGCCCTCGTGTTCCCGTGGGCCACCTCGTCCAGCCATCCATTGACTGGGAACGGTGGAACCGCATGCATCAGGGCAACCATGGCAGGTTTCCGTCGGATATGCCGCAGGGAGCGACGCCCATCACCCCGTTGAACATCCGGAAAGCTAGAAATGCAAGGCCGAGCCAGATCTCGAGGAAGCCGGTGCCGTGTCGGAAGTGGAGCAGTTCTGAGGAGTTGCTCGTCTCTTCACATGAGTCGCCCAGCAGACCGTTGTCGCCTTGCTCGCCGCTTAGCCCGGCGAGTAGGAGCAAGCACCCGGGACGAGAGGTGAGGAAGGAAATGGAGAATTTGAACCACCAGATCGGTGATTTGATGAATAGTTGGAACGCTGACGCACCACCCTCTCCGCAGTCGTGGCACCAACACCAGGACTGGTATGAGATCAGGTACTGATCAAGCTCCGACTAAAGGTGCTGTGAAAGCTGTGAGTATAAATTGAGTATTTTCCTTAAACCCAAGTATATCAATTTCCCTTGAGTACCCTTCCTGGCGCAGACTTATCTTATCCTTTGTACCCAATAGTAATGATAAATACGACGTGAAAAGAAGAAACATTTGTTCCCCATATTTGCATTGTGACTTGCTGATCGAATCGACTGACCAACGCCTAGCTCCAGAATGCCGTTCTAATCGCAGAAACTAAGCGCACCCGCAGAGCAGGAACCTACGCCGGGTGTGGGAGAAAACAGAAAGATTCTCGCAGTGCCTTCCCTTCCTCACAGCCGTACCGTACCCCGCAATCGTGTGATGCTTCGTCCCAGATTACTGCGCGGTTCGTTTCAGGTGCTTCCTGAAGTAAAAATTATTACAAAGTCCGAGTGTCGTTCATGGCCTTGACAGCCGTCGTGATGCTATGGTCGGGCAACACGATCCATTGGAACCCGTAATGATAGTCCTGGGATTCGATCCTAGTTTGCCTTACCGTTCTTGGCGGCTCCGTTCCCATTCTGCGCTTTCTCTGCCCTGAACCTCTTGATCTCCTTGTCCACACCAGCGGCAACTCTCTTCTGCAACTCCGGTCTGTAGCCGAAGGTGAAGAGGGCCTCCATGAAAACAAAGAATGGGGCCAGGACCAAGGCCTGAACCAAATTGTCTAGCAGCGCGGGTGCCCGGCCCTCGTATACACCGTGACCGACAAACTGGGCGATCCAAGACACGACGAAGACTGCGATGCTAGCTAGATTGGCGAAAGTGCTGGTCGACGCCGAGGTAAGGTGGTTTGCGAAAGCAGTCCATCCGATAATGACTGGCAGGAGGATGCTGCCTGCAACAGGCTCTAGGAGGATATAGAAGCCACTGTATAAGATTGCCCCGATGGTGCCAAAGTTCAGAGGGAGATTAGGAATCGTGAGCCAGTGAGGCAGAGGGATCACGGTCGGAGTGTTGGTGGCCTGCAGAGATTCTCAGCATCCGGTAGTCGGATAAGAGGTAGCAACTAGTAGAGCCTACAAGCAGTATAGAACTGGCGAGGATTAGTGGCACACATAGCATGTGGATGCCGATGTTGACGCTATTGTGGTGGTAGGCTCCGTACTGGATAGGTAGTGTTAGCATAGCACGTCCATGGAGAAATCAGGGCATAGGGGGTATCAGCTTACGAAGCACAATTGCTTTTCGAGGTTGAGAGACATTTTGGAGAGAGATGGTTGGGGGGGAGGGGGGAGAGTTGCGGAGGGTAGAAGAGAGATGGACGAGGTCGAGGTCGAGGCCGAGAGAAGAATTGTGGTGTTGATGGTTGTGTCAATAGATTCTGGAGGGGAGCCGAGGGCCGTTGGGGTTGCCCGTTCTTCAATATACGCGCTCACGGTACACTTCTGGTCACTCCCACGCACAGATGCTTGAATTCACATAGAAAATACTCTCCCAACCCGACCAAGATCCTCCCTTTCCACAGCCAGACTTCTCACGCATCGATTACGGAGGTACGGAGTACGACTGCCTTTGTGCACCCTCTGCGAAAGCCTCCAGAGCAGTGCCCGGAGCGTCTGGTTCAGTCCAGTCCAGTCCGATCCAGTCCAGTCCGATCCAGTCCAGTCCAGTCCAGTCCAGTCCAGTCCAGTCCAGTTTCATTCTTGCATTCTTTGGAGCAGTGTATGTCCTGAGACTCACCCAGCGCTTGACTGCGCTTTGGATTGATGACTCTAGATTCTTTAAGCAGGGGCTCGAGAGCGCATTCTATAGAGTATTTACAGGTTTGGAGCAGTTGACGCGACGACGGAGATATCATTGATGCGTGAAGAGGAGCGCGTTCGAGATTCGGTTCGGGCTTAATTTGAGCACGTCCGACAGACACGAATTCACCTTTGCCTCTGCCTCCTCGATTCATCTACATCTCTATACCGGACATTCTCTCCATTCTCTCTTTCGAGATCGGGCACCTGGATAAAAAATACTGCGCACAACCTCATTTCCGAGCGATCACTTCTTCGAGCAAACACGCTTTCTTCGTTATTGCCCAATATGTTCTTCCTCTACAACCTCGAGCGCCAGGTCACCCTGCACCCCTCTTACTTCGGCCGGAACATGCACGAGTTGGTCACGGGGAAGCTGTTGAAGGACGTTGAGGGTACATGTACTGGTCGATACTTCATCATCACCATCATGGATACCTTTAATATCTCTGAAGGCCGTATCCTCCCTGGTAGCGGTTTGGCTGAGTTCACGGTTGGATATCGCGCCGTCGTTTGGAGACCTTTCAAGGGCGAGACCGTAAGGACATAGCTATGACGGTTGTCTCTACACTAGTCTCATATCTCAACAGGTCGATGCTATCGTCACCTCCGTTAACCAGGTCGGCTTCTTTGCTGATGCTGGTCCTCTCCCCATCTTTGTTTCCGCACATGTAAGAGCGTGATTTCTATGACAAGGCACATTGCTAAACTTCTCTCCAGCTCATCCCTCCTGACATCAAGTTCGATCCGAATGCCACTCCGCCCCAATTCACTAATAACGAGGACTCGGTCATTGAAGTCGGAACGCACGTTCGAGTGAAACTGATTGGTACGAGAGCAGAGGTCGGAGAGATGTACGCGATCGCCAGTATCAAGGAGGACTATCTTGGGTAAGCTATTCCACTCGGTGGCTCTGGGTCTACGATTCCATCAGTTTTCTATTATTTCTGTGAATTGAATTTCAGCTAATAGAACCAATCAGATGCTTGGCTGGTGCTTAATCTACAACCTCCCTGAACTGAATTTCGGAATCAATTAAATTTGATATTCGAAATGTTCAACGGAGGTGAGCTATGCCGGTCGGTAGTGGTAGTGGAAGTTTGGAGCGGATCCGGACCTAGTTAATGCGTCATTATCGATTCTACCCGGTGTCCGACTGGGAGATGCTTCAATCTCGAGATAATGCTCCTCAACACAGAAGGGCTAATATCAGTGCGAATCTGCTAGAAGCATCGATGCTTTGCAAGATAATAAAGCACTGTCTTCTACCAAGTTTGATATTTTTTGTGTGTGAATTTGAGGTTACCTTAGTGTGAATGCTCCCGCTTGCCGTCATGGTCAGCTAAAAAATAAGTCTAGACATTGCTAAATAAGTCTAGATGGTCCTACTATCCCGTTTTCCTATAAATAATTCATCATCCGCACTTCAAATTTCTCATATGACGAGCTGCACCTTTCTTCCTTAAGTCCCTCGCTCAACAACTCCGAACCTATTATTTGAGAACTTTCATAGCTGCGATCACAACAACGCCTTCACTTCGCTGGACGCTGCCTTATATATCTCCAAAGATTACTTAAAGTTCTAATAATCATACCTTCACAGCTTAAATTACAATATCGCCGCAACTTTGCTGGACGAGGCACTACATATCTCAAAAGACCAACTAAAGTCCCAACAGTCAGATCTCCAGCGAGCTAATCTGGAAAAAAAATTCCTGGATCTTCGACCCAGGACGCTCATCGCAACAGTTATACCGACTATTCAGCCTCCTTCAAAATGGCTACGACACTGATAGAGGCTATTTCTCCACAGCCTCAAGGGCCTATTTCAGCAGGCTCAAGTCACTTAATGCACAATGCCGAAGATATCGTCACAGCATCAGCGAGCGGCATCACTGCACCAGTCAGTGTCTTCACACCCAAGAAACAGAACCCTACGGCACATCTCGTTATTCTCCGGAACCCCAAAGAGTGCTATAGACGATACACTCCAGCTTTCTCCCCAGCACTCGGTAACGGATCAGACACCTATACTCGGCACATCGCAAAAAATTTGTGGTCACTCCACGAGGCGGCATGCATTCAGGATCTTATCCCTTTGATCTCCGATAAGATGGAACAGGAGGAAGAGCTACAGCAGCATAGAAAAGCCAGGAAGCAGTTCTCGAAATTTGATGACAAGTTTGCCAAATGGGTCTTCTACTTACCAGCCTTAGAACGCCACTTGATAAAGCAAGTCCACGAGCAACAATTCTGGAGATCCTGGGGAGAGACCAAGGTCATCCTCACTGGTGAAGATGGAAACAAGAAAGCGCATTGGATGGTCAACGACAATGCGGACCAGCTTGGGCAAATGCTGGATAGGCGCATGAAAAAGGATGGCTACAATCTCTGCGACAAGCAGACTCTGGTGAAGAATCTTGAGGATTTGGAGACTGCTGAAAGAAACAAGAGGATGATTCTCCACAGAGAATGGTGGTCCAAATCTCAGGGGGCGACGCGGAGGGATAATTTGGCTACCGAAAACGCCAAATCGCTTACGGCTAACACGATCGCCCACATGGATCTCTCTAGTTCAACCGGGCTTGCCGCGACAACACAAACTTCTCCAACAACATCGGAATCCACTGCGAGTCTTCAAAAAAACGACATGGAGGAGCTACCGAAACAAATCTTACGGAACATCACCCAAGACGAGGCAATCCTCGAGCTATCGCAAGCCCTCACCGAGGACTTAACCGAGCGTCAAAATGCTTACACTCATGCCGCCAACGCCAACATGAACAAAGCATTCTATGCCCTCGAGCCGCAGCGACTGCATAGCCGCTGCAGTTGGCTCGTCCGTCCCATGGCGATGACTACCAAGAACCTGCAACCACCACCAGCAGGCGAAATCCCAGCAATCCGTCTTACTCTCGACAACAGTGTGACTTGCGAGCTATTCGAGCGCTTCCAAGACTTCAGTCACCCGGACTGGGAGGAGGTATGGCAGGTGCGTGCTGATGCTCAGGCGGGCATGGAGCATAAGCTCAAACTACGGAAACAAGTGGAGGAGATGAAGATGCGGAAGTTGGCGTTCTATCAAGAAGGAGACTACGAGACGGACAGTGATAGCGATGAAGACGACGATGAGGGGTATTGGTACTCGGACATAGGTTCTCCATTCGACAAAACCCAACCATCAACCAGCTCGGGCTCCAACGACACGGGATGTTCCACAATCATCCCGCACAACGATACTCCCACCAAGCTTGACATCGCCAAAGCCAAGCTCGCCACATTCAACACAGTCCTGGCCAATAACCTCGCCATCGTCAAAGCCGAATGCCTCCTGAAGATGAAGCGCTTCAGCGGCATCCTTCCCACCCCCAAGACAGAGGACGAAATCAAGCGAGAGAAGGCCTGGGCTCAAGCACTGTACATCCGGAAACTAGAAATAAACCTCGTCAAACTGCAGCTCCGTATCTTCGACGAAGGCATGACTGCAACCGACAATCGCAGAGTCCGCTTCACATCCTCTGCCCCCACCGGAGCCGGCGAGGTCCATTTCGTCGGACCTTTGGTCAGACTCAATGACGCATCCGAGTCCGGAAGCCTGAAAGTCCGCGCCGCCTTCAAGATTCTCAAGAGGCACAGGCTATTCAACGCCTTCAGAACGAAGGATCACTTCCATTTCGTGAAACGGCTATTGGCGCGCGTCACGAACCTGGAGGACACCGAGCACGCAATCTTCAAGGAGGAGATCAAAGAAGCTTTCCAAATGGCCCATAAAACGGATGAAGAGGTTTTAGGGTACATTCAGAAGGCGGTTGAGGCTGCAGAGAACTCTGTGTTTACTAAGAGGTGTAAACACGTTGGCGGGAGTGAGATTGCGAGTTGGTATGTGAGGCTGGGCAGACGGGCGAGGGCCGACTGGAACATTGAAAGAAGATGGTATAGGATATGAATGGTTGGCATGGAGTTGACTATGCTTTGTTATGATGGATGACATATCCGGTGGAGGAGTTACATATACCCAGAACGACTGATTGGATTGGATTGGATTGGATTGGAATGGAATGGAATCGAATGAGAAGGAAAATGGGATTCGCGCATGTCACGTTGCTGGATCATGGGTTACGATATATTTTTCTTTTGAGAATTCCGCGAACGATGTCTCCGAGGTCCGTCAAGGGCCTAGGATGTTAAAGTCATGTACCAGCTTTCATTATTTGGATGCCAGGGGATGAAAAATCGATATCCTCTTAGACACTGCGCGCTTTCTCTACTTTAAAGATTTGCGTTTTCTTTCTTTTTATTTGAAAATGCTTCTCCACCTACAATTGGCAAAGCGTGTCTTGCCCAGGTCTCTCATATGCCAGAGCAACGCAACACTATTGAACAGTAATCTATCTAATCACTCTTCAATTCATCTTCATAATATCCATCTAACTACAAGCGATCCACAGACAACAGCTTCGAAACAAACAGTATATAATTACATCAAAAAGACGAAATACGCACAACACCATGTTATGGCTGGGCTATACTTACGACACCTTATATGTATTCAACCTCAATTCCACACCATCCTCTGCTTATCCCTCCCTCCCCATTCCCACTCTGAAGGCAAGCACCCAGCAACTCGTCAACAAACCCATGCCTCACATACCAGATATTTCTCCCAAGCAACTACCTACATAACTGCTGCATGCATCTCTAAGCTTCTTCCCCTAATCAGCCCTCGCCGCCCGATCTGATCTGATCTGATCAGATCGAATCGGGGAACATCAGCCTCCTGCGCACGCGCGGGCTACAAGCGAGAGGACTCCCCACTCGTCTACAAATTCGCCGCCCATCCGCTGACTTTACACGCGGAGATGTCGTTCTTGGCGTTCTTGGACTTCTCTGACGAGCTCCATGTTTGCGGCTTAGGTGGCAGCTTCTTCGCCGATTTGAATTTGGACCATGGAGGCTCCCGATGCGGCATTATCCAGCTCGGCCTGTATTGGTGCTACGCTCGGAGACTTGACATCGTCAACTTCTTTATCTCGCAAGAAGACTGGATGGGAGGGCCCCGGCCACAACTTCAAGTCTTGGTCTTCTTAGACCCTGATACTTCTTGATCATCGCCCTCCCTCTTTCTAGAGAGACCTGCATCTCCTCGCATCGACGGAGCAATTGTATTCGGATCCAGCCTTCCTCCTCTTCCTCTCAGCGAAGGCGTATATCCCAATGGATTAGTCCCACCCCGGGTAGACATGAATCCCGCTGGTGGCTCCTCGTCATCTAAACGATCGGTCTCGTCGCCGTCCTCATAAAGGGCAAACTTCGCGATCCGGCTCTCCCAGTACTCATAAGCACCATATCCCAGATCCATATCTCGAATGAGATCAAAGACAGAGATGCGGCTGAAACGACGCGTGCCATCTGCAAGCCAGGTAACACCCCAGTCATCGACTCTGAAACGCGACGGATCCTCAACATACAGACGCGCGAGACGTACGAGGCCGATGCAGAAGTCCACCCACCGGCTGACGTCCTCAGCGTCAAGACTGCCTCTCGCTTGTCGAAACTCGATGGTCCTCGGCAGCGAACTGTCGCGCAGGAGATACGTCAAGTTGACCTGACGGTCCTTATCTCCGTTCTGCCGGTTCGGCTTCTCCTGGAACTTGTCGTAGACCGCCGGCCAGTGCATCAGGTGCACCATGTTCTCAACCGTCGCCCTTTCCATGGCGCTTCGTATAGCAGGGATTGAAGCTACCTCACTTGCAGCTCGCGTCGAGCAGTCGACGTTTATAAAGCTTTTCAGAGACGTGTCTACCGAATCATTGATCAGCTCGCCCGGGAACTTCACAAGGCGGTCCTTGATCAGACCGAGGCGATTGCTTGAGAATTGATACGCGGCATTTGCATGGCCGGGATGGCGACACGGGGGATGCAAGCGAGCGATCTCGTACTCGTAGACGAGGAGAATGATTGCAAGCTCTTTCTTGATATCAGAGGCGTGCTTTTCTGCCGCGGCTCTTTCGAGATGGCCGAAGTCATCGGCGGTAGGACCTCCGACGTTGACGTGTAGGCCACACTGGTTTGTGACGAAGGCTCCAGCTGTTGTGTCACCTTTCATGGCCTCGATTATATCGCGGATCCTGTCCTTGTCGGCTGGCTGTCCTGAGTCCAGCACAGGAGATATGATCTCGACACCGATGGAGTCCCAGCTGTCACTACCACCTGCTGCTTTACCAGGAAGCCACTTGTCTGAGGTCAGTAGGACTCAGTACTCATGTTGACGAGCAAGAAAAAGAAGAAGAAAATGGTAAGCGGGAGAGTCCTGCTTTTGAAGCGACGTCTCCACTCCATGACCCATCTACAAATCGAGCAATTACAACAACGCAAGGTACAAAAGAACATACACTAGAGATGTTCCCCGATCCAACCCCACAAACCGAATGATCCTTCGTAACCTTCCACTGCATCTTATTCTCCCAATTCAGCTGCTGCTTCTCCCCAGGCAGCAACGTATTCATAACCCTTACAGTCCGACCTGCCATGCCCCGAGCCGCACCCCGCTCCTCCTGCAGCGCCGGCACCCCCTTCCTTAGGATCGCTTCCACGATCCGCAGCGGCTCCACCGCGTACGGGTTCAGCGCGTGGCCATCTCGAGGAGGCTCCTCCGTTTGCACGCCCCAGCTGTTGTAGATCCTGTTCGGGACAAAGCGGGGGCTGCATCTGCTGAAGCGCTCTTCGGCGCGGGTGGCGTAGGGGAGGTCCTTGACGAGGGTGCGGCCGTGAGGGTTGCCGCGGAAGGGAGTGAGCTGGATCAGGCCCTCCTTAAACGCAAATACGTACTCGAGTTCGACGCCGTAGGTCATGGAGTCGTGAGATATTCGGATGGGGTTTGGGGAGCTATTGCTGCTAGGTCGGGCCGCCATGCTGGCTGCTGCAAATTATATATATTATATATATTATATATATTATATATATTATACGTATGAGACTCTATAGACTAGCTGATCGTTATTATATGGTTAGAGATGATAGCAGTATGTGTATATACGAAAGTTTGAGATGGGTTTACAGCCCAGAGGATTAATCCTCAGCAAGTCAAAGAAAGCCCTAAAGTCCCTTGTTGACATTTTTATCACCGAACTTCAATCAACTTCCAGGCCCTAAGACAAAGAGCACCTCGAACTAGGTTTTGATATGTACCAGATGCGTCAATATCAATGTCTACTAACGAAGATGACGAAAACGGTAGCCGACAAAGCTATTCTTTGACAGTGCTGTCAGTAAGCGAGTCGTAAGCGAACGAAGGAAAGAGGTGTGACACGTGACCAATACGCCAATGCTATTCCAACCTCATACACCTCAACTGTCGACGTCTTGTATACCTAACCTCTGGAAGCAGCCGCAATCATACCCGGGTTCCTTGATAAGAAGTATGGGAAAGTGCAGCCTACCCAAAGGCCAGTCACGAACGCGATAGACCTATTCCATAAACCAGCATCCTCCGTTCTCAAAACTACCCATGGATCACTGCGGGTAGCTATCTATCTCTTTCATCTTCTCAGCCCATCCATCCCTATTCATCGAAGCGTATGTTAGTTATCCTAGAAGGTCATCCCGGGCCCAATACATGTCTTTGCGTGGCTGTCTGGGGCTTGCGCGGCCGCGAGTAGAGGATTCGGAATCGAGAGATGTGAGAAGGATTCCCGGACTCGGACATCGAATCAGAGGAAGGGTTTCCATCGTGCTCCTGGGTGGAAGATTGAGGCTGATGTTTCGAAAATGCGAGACCCGCCCTGTCGAGTATGAGAAGTTACGAGACGCGGGAATGGGGAGACGGTTTCATCGTGAGCGAATCTGTTTGGGGACGCCTGGATGTCTGACATAGATGGCTGGATGGCGAAACGGCGTGCGGTATGCCGAGTAAACACTCATCTGGTGGAAATGGTTGGGGTCTCAAAGAGGAGGGGCGTAGGGGCGATCATGAACGAGTTGTCCTCCACTCGCGGCTCGACTCTCTCGCATTCTGGAGTACAGCAGACCCAGATGTTGTGAAATATCAAAGACTTCGTTGAGAATAATGGTCGTGATGATAGATTAACAGGGTGCTGCGCTAGCTTATTATATAACCTCTAAATATCTATCTGGAATGCGCTCCGCTCGAGCCTTGGCCGCTGGCCGGTGAAACAAAAATATATACAGATGTAGACGAAATTGTCAAAATTCGCTTTCTTTGCTTTCAGATTATTGGCGACTTCCCTTGCGACTGTATGTATTTTTCCATCATGGCGCTGGCTGCGAGAGCGCCGCCCATCGTCTGCTGTTCCAACATGACCGCCAAGGTAGCCATGGAGACGGTGACGCCTGCTTGGCCTGCGGGCTGGGCACTTGAAGCTCTGTTCATGGCCCCAGTAGAAGATGTTTCGTTGCGTCCGGCACTTGCGGCTCCTCCAGCCTCTGATGCTGCCTGACCAGCTGAAAGTTGCATGGTCAGGATGAACTCTCCGTCGATCTGGTTGACAACCGTCATGACACGGCCATTGAGAGGATCCAGAGTAGTGGGTGAAGTGATGGGCGTGAATGTTGGTGACAGGAGTAATTGAGCAGCAGCAGGGCTCTGTGGGCTTGTGTTGGTCCCTCCGTTGGTTCCCCCGTTGTTGCTCCCTCCGTTGCTCCCTCCGTTGGTTCCCCCGTTGGTCGAAGAACCTGTACTCGGGCTCGATGTTGCAGATGGAGATGAGCCGGTATCATTCGTACCTGTGTTTGACGCGCCGTCCATAGGAGTGGTACCATCAGCCGATGCTGGGCTTCCGCCATCAGTTGGCACCATTTGATACGAGTCTGAAGTGCCATTCATAGATTCGGGGCTATTGGCCGCAGTCTCGGTCGAGTCTGCAACTACAATAGTAGGAGCTTCGGCGTCTTGACTTTCCTCCTTCCCAGACGAAGCTGCTCTCCGTACGCGGCGTCTGCGCTGAGGTGAGAGATTGCCAGTGGCCCCTCCGGGGTTTTGGAGCACAGTTCTTTGCGCGACACCAATAACAACCGCATCGTTGGGACCAACGCCCATTTGTTGAGCCATTGCCATGACACGCTGCATGTTCACTTCTCACTATTAGCCCTACTTCTGAAGAGGCGTGGCTAAAGACATAGGCCTTACATGGGAGTTGAATAACTGAAACCATCGAGTTGAGGCTAGGCGAGACTGCTGCCAGGTTTGTAGTAACCAAGTACCTGTAGTTGTCTTGGCAAGTCAGTATACGAAGGGACACTTGATGGAATCTTTAAAACTTACTGACTGGCATCATTCCTTGAACAGTGATCATAGATGAGCTGATACCATTGACAACGTCCGTGTTGAGAGTCATCGGCTGAGTAACCTTCATTGACATGCGCAATCCGTCTGCAAATTCGGCCTCCTGAATTCCAGATCCAGTGATGTTGACGGATTGCGATCCGAACTGTGTCAGCACTTGGCTCGTCTCCGTCGATTGTCGGCCAACTGCCATGTATTCGCCATCGATATTCGTCATCTTGACTATGCGAACGGTGTTGTCAGTGCTGTTATACTGGTCAGTCTTCAAACTGCTTTTCTAATGAATCAAGTCCTTAGCCTACGTATTCACACTCTTCATACCCTCCATCACCACCCACGTCTGCCGTCCTGGAGAAAGCATCGCTACAAAAGTGTTGTCCGGGGACACATTGTTCTGTTGGAGTATCGCCGGATCAATAGGAAGCTCAATTTGAGCAGCAACAAGATTTGCTGCACCGTTTGTCTGAATTGTCATCGAATTTGGTGAAAGCGCAACGAAAGACTGTCCTGTAGAACCCACAACATGGTTCGCTGGAAGGGGTGCCGGATTTTGATTTACAATCAATTGCTGTTGTGATTGAGAATATGTTTCGATTTTTGAATTGTCGGGAAATTGGTAGCTGTTCAATTGCATCTATTATAAGGTCAGTATTGAAACCAACTTTCAGAACTGCACATTCTTTGGCGAGCTGCACTTACATTACCATTCACGTTTAGTACTTGGTTCCATCCTGCGGATGATTGCCCGTTGACCAGATTTAAGCAAAAAATGAGTACGGAGAGAGAAGAGCGCGTTAAAGTCATTATGAATAGAAGACCACCAGGGCTGAGAGGGAACCACCAGGGTTGAGCAATTCGAATTTAAATTAGATAAAGAGACTACAGCGAACGGTGATGAAGAAGAGGCAATATGCCGATAATTATGTCTAGCGATGAACCGAGGTCAGATTAAAACGCCAGGACCAATTTATGACGCTTCATTTCAAAACTTAGGTACATACGCCGTAGGCCTCTTTGAAGCAGCTCGCGCTCGCGCTCGCGCTCTCGGTAGAATGTAGGATATAACTTTCGGGAATCTTAAGACGATCTGTCACGTCCATGAGAACTGTGGGAATGAGGGGATCGGAGTTAAAGACTCGATCGGGGATAAGGGTGGCCCGTGCTTGGCACGTGCACCTTTGCCATAGCAACCACATGGTGGCCCGTGCACCCATGCACCCAACTACATGTAACTGCACCTCGCAGCTAGAATAGCTTCTTCCCTCAGACTTAACAACACCACGAATGCAACCACTTGCTATTCGTACCGAGTCTCACGTGTGCACCCTATTGTGTAACCAACACTGATCAGTGGTTAAATTCACACTTAACCACAGATGAGCTAGGTACAAAAAAGAAGAGGTAGTTTTTGTCCTCTTAAAGGTATTAACTACGCTACAAGCAACCGTTAGTTCTTAACAAGTCTAGCGGAAACCCAATACAATTAGCAGTACTATCACCAGTTGTAGCGTCCATCACGCAACCACCCCATCACGCAACCACCGCCGCCAATATAGCGGATGACAGAAACAGAAACCCCCCCCCTCACGAATTCGAAGACCCCCCCCCCCCTCTCAGAGAAATCTGTTCGGCCTCCAGCAAGTAGCTTCGAGGAACTCGAATAGACTCTCCGAGGCAAATTCAAAGTCGACCGAAAGGTATAGGAAGCTGATGATTTCGACCCCACTAACAAGACCAAATGGACCCAAGGTTGCGTTCACTCGTATATCATCCGAGCCCTCGATATATTCAAGGATGATTATCGCTACGCTACAAGTGACAATTTATAAGAGACATACTAAAGCTTCTTCGAAAGATGGACTAAACTATTGTTCAAGCTAAGTCACATCACAATCTTAGGATACTTATATAATCACCTTTTCGTCTACTACGTGTAGATAAAAGATCTAAGAAGTAGTGTAAGCTATGCTTCAGCCCTTGCTAAACTACTTCATAGATCGACATTTCCCGTATTTCCACCTTACGAAAAGGCAAGACGAGAAAAGCGACTCAGTTTAATGACATACAGACCTGCCGTCAAACCCCCACCTTCACTTTTACCTCCTACACCTTTCACACCGATGCAACCTACACGACCACCCCTCCCACCGATACACCCCCAACTGTATCGACCCCCACCCCTACCCCCGAATAATATACAATTCGATATACCATTCGATAAGCAACCTTATCAACAGCAAAGACAATAGGAGTTCACCCTTGACCCTCGACTACCCCTTGACCCTCGACTACAACCCTTACCACCGATTCACCCGATCTTGTCTCGACCCCCACCCAACCCAATGGTTCATAGACAACCCTACGTACCACCCTTCGAACACCGCGAACCTCAAGGACGAGGAGCAAATAAGAGAGGCGGAGGTAATGATAGTAGAAGCAACCATACGGAGGACTCCTACCGCAAAGATAACTACAAAAGAGGTAGAAGAGGCGGTAGAGGAGGAGGTAGAAGAGGAAGTGGAAGAGGAAGTAAAGAAGGAGGTGATAGAAGAAGAGGAGGTGGAGGTAGTAATAGAAGAGACCCTGACCAATCAGCTAAAGGAGGCTAGAGATCAAGCCTAGCGCAGTTGATTAGCGGACTTAGTAAGATATATAGATATAAGAAGGAGCTCAAATACAGTAGAGGAATGTGAGATATACTCTTCGTAAAGCTGAAGAAGTTTTACAGCTTGTGCGAAACATGCGACATCCCTCTTACCTTATACGCTAAAGCTTTCCTTATCATGCTTACCGGAGCAGCAGACGCTTACTATATCGATCAAATAGCTAGCAGAAGCTACTCTTTCGAAGCCATGACATACCTTATAGCCTAACACTTCGAAACCGATAAGAACCGAAAGCACTATATAAGCTTGTAAAGAACTACTATATTCGCTAGTGTTATTGCAAACAAAGAGAACATCGGAAAGACCCGACTAAAGTGCTTAAAGATTACGATGAAGCTTCTAAAGAGCTGTCAGCAAAGCCTTACACTCGAATACCAGACCGATAACGTATTGCGCGATCAACTTATTAGCGCTTGCAATAGAGTCGAGGAATGCAGACTAGCAATGTTCAATCTAGCCAATATATACGAAGGAGTTGCTGCTTAATTACGATTAGCAATCGGTACTATTCAAAAAGAACGCTAAGTACTCGAATACACAGCCCCTCCTACTATGTACCATGCTTCTAACGACCACAATTGCGATACCAATTGCAATCACGAGACTTACTACACCGATCGAAACTATAGAGGATCAGGTAAGAGCTATAACCGTGGCTCAAGAGGCTATAATCGCGGTAGTGGAGGCAGAAGTAGGAACAGAGGTTTTGCACGTAGAAGAGAGAATAGAGGCTTTTGCGGAGGTAGAAAGCCTAAAGTATGCTTCATTTGCGGCAAACCCGACTGCTAGTCTACAAAACACTCCTTCGAAGAACGAAAACGCTCTTACGACGAGTACAAGAAAGGCGCTACGTACCACACTACTCAACTAGTGACTTTAGCTTATTTTGCAAGCTTCTTAGCGGACTACGAAAGAGTAGAAGGTATTGCAGACGAGGAAAATCATTAAGATCAAGCAACATACGCTATTGAAAACTATCAGTACGACGAATACGATCACGGTGACCGCAACTACTTCACTCAGACCTTTCTCACCGAGGCTAGAGAAGTGACAAGCGCCGAGACCATTGCAATTTTGTAAGAACGCTTAACTTACCACGCTTTCACCACTTTAGACGCTATGAACCCCTTAATTAAAGAAGATAAGACCGTTCTATTAAAGACCTACATTTCACACTCCCGGTATTCAGCTTACCGATTCCAAAGCTTCCTTCCCGATTCGAGAGCTGCAAGTAAGTCTTTTGTAAGAGAAGCACAAGTGAGAGCTTTTTAGCACCACTTGCCTGAATTACAAGTGATTACTACTCAAGGAGGTACTATCAGCTTCGGCGAGACCCCGGCTACTATCAAAGGAACCGTAGAAGTACAAACACCAATTAGCAAGATTGTTTTTTATATAGTCAATACTGATACCCCTTTCCTAATCTGTCTGAAAGACATAGATTCTTTTAGCGTGTATTTTAACAATCTGAGAAACCTGCTTATGCAAAGCCATAACAGCGTGCTAGTTGTTAGAAAATAAGGCTACCTATTCTTACTGCTTAGTCAGCAAGAAACCATTACATGCTACCTTACCGAAAGAGAATTGCGTCAAATTCATCGCCGCTAAGGACACCCCTTAGTACAGCGTTTTGCTACCACTCTTAAGGCTGCCGGTGAAGAGTTTGAAACCGACATCTTCGAAAAGATTACCAAATACTATGCGCAGTATCAACTACATAAGCAAGCCTTTCGCAGATTCAAAATCTTTTTGAAAGATAAGTATGAATTCAACTATTCGATTATTATTAACATCATATATATTAACGGGGACTCCGTATTATATATCGTGGATTCAGCTATAAGCTACGGTTTTAGAAGATTCCTTAAGAATATGACTGCAAAACACGTGTAAGATACAATACGTTACTATTAGATCGATACATACTTAAGCCTTTTAGATGTAATCGTAGTAAACGCTAAAACTAACTTAAGCTCTTAAGAGTTCAAACAACAAGCAAATTCGATGAATACTAAGATCAAAGTAGTTCTAATCGAAGCTCACAATAGCGTCGGAAAAGTAAAACGCTACTATAGCCCTCTCCGAAGAATATATAATATTCTGAAAGAAGAACTAGCAGGTGAAAGAGTTGACAAGCATATAATACTTTAAATAGCTTTCAAAGCTATCAACGATACAGCCGGCCCCGAAAGTATTGTCCTTACATTGCTCGTATACGGCGCATACCCACGCCTTTCTGAAACAGATTCTCTAGCACTATCTATAATAAAGAGACGAAAAGCCCTTCGAGCTGCAATTAAAGAGATTCGTCGACTACAAGCTAAGAGAAAAGTCAAGGACGCCTTAGCAATGCGAAATGGACCAAATACCTTAGAAACCTTCAACCTCCCTTTGCAATCAGACGTCAAAGTCTATAAAGAAGTAAAAGGTAAACTAAGCAGAAGCGAATAGACCGGACCGCACAAGCTAATTGTACGTGAAAACGAGACTTGCAAAGTACTCGTAAACGACCGAATTAGCGAATTCCGTTTAATAGTTGTCAAACCGTACTATAAAACACCTTCAGATACGCTAAACCTCGAAGAATCCTTGCCACCGAACCGGTTAACTGAAGCTGAACTACCACCGGTCCAGCCTACAAGACAACCTACCACTCTAGCTACTAAGATTGGATCACGCCCGCGCAAACCGAAAAGCAGTTTAGCAGTTCGTTATAGCCCTTGTCACCTTTTTGCAAGTATAAAAGAGTTCAAAGATTTTGACGAGCAATTTCTCAATCACGAGAATGATGTCATCATAGTATTCTTTACTTATAAAGAAAAGGCTGATGTTGCGCTCTCTACGAAGCTTAGAAACGAAAGAGTTATCATTACGCCCGGCGAGCAATTCGTAGAATCACGCCTCCAAGAGCTAAAAGGCTTAATAAAGAAAGAAGTATTTGAAGTTGTAGAATACAACCTTGCGGTCCACGGAATAAGCCGTATATTCAACTCTCGAATGGTCGATGAGATTAAAAGCAAGAATACCTCTGAACCATACGAAAAATCACGCCTTGTTATTCAAGCTTAAGGCGACGAAAGCAAGTATGATATTCTTACTTAATCCCCGACTATTCAGCGCAATAGCCAGCGTTTAATAATTTCTTTAGCCCTATTCCTGGAATCCTTCAATCAAGCAACAGTTTCTTTGCGAGATATTACTCAAGCCTACGTATCGAGCTAGCGCTACTTCGAGCGTATGATCTTAGCGTATTTGCCCAAGGACTTCCAACACCTATACCCTCCGGGCTATATCCTACTGATTCGTAGACCTCTATACAAGATTGCGGAGGCAGGTACCTATTAGTAAGACACCTACTACAGACACCATAGAGATAAGCTATTCATAGTCTCTTCTACATACGACCTTTGTTTATTGATCTCTACAACTAGCAAATTCGCTATCATTGGAATGCAAACAAACGACACACTGATAGTAGCTAACAAAGAGTTCAATGACTTGGAAGAGCAAGAGCTTAAGAAGGCTGATTTTAACGCCAAGCTAAAAGAGACGCTTATAGTAGAAAACGAAGTGACATTCAATGAAGGAACACTAAAGAAGCTCGCTAATGGCTCGATTCTACTCAAGCAAAAGGACCAAAAGAAGAAGCTAGAGCTAATTACCGAAAATAGAAACAACTACTTAGAACAGCGAGCACGTGCAGCTTACATTGCAAGCTTGTGTTAGCCCGAGGCTATTTTCGACTTATCTACCGCCGCGCAGATCTAGCAAAAAGACTTTACTTTAGACGACATCACCTTTTTGAACAAGAGAATTGCATAGATGATAGAAAACCAGCAACGAAGCTTAATATACCTCAACATCGACTTACGTTCAGCGAAGCTGTTCGTATTTGTAAACGAGAGTTTTGCTAACAATAAAAACTGCAGTTCACAAATTGGTTTTTTAATCATCTTAGCAACCGAAAAGAAGTTTAACAGCTCCTTCTTTATCCAAAGGAACCTTATCGCTGCTAGTTCCACAAAATGCAAGCGAGTAACACGCTTAGTACTTGCTTCAGAAATCTATAGCATGGTCTCCGGTATGGATATTGCTATTTGCGTAGCTACTACCCTTAAAATAATTACTAACAAGCTAGAAGTCCTCGAGGTCTCTATAGTCGTTTATACCGACTCATATTCTTTCTACGAATGCCTTGTCAAGCTCGGAACCACTAAGGAAAAGCGCTTAATGATCGACATTATAGCCTTTAAGCAATCATACGAGCGCCGAGAGCTTGCAAAGGTCAGATAGATTGAAGGAAAGGATAATTTAGCCGACTCTATAACGAAAATCAACTTAAATAAGTCGTTAGCGACCTTCATTAATACGAACAAAGCCAACGTACGTGTCGAAGGGTAAGTGGAGAGAGCATAAGAAGGTCAGGCCGAATTTAGAAGGAACGGTGATAGTATTTTTTACCGACAACGTTAAGAATGAAAGAGCTATTTTTACTTGTATTAGAATTGCAATTGCAATTGCAACTACTGCAATTGCAAAAGAGAAAATTGCGAGTGTAAGAATGAGGGGATCGGAGTTAAAGACTCGATCGGGGATAAAGATGGCCCGTGCTTAGCACGTGCACTTTTGCCATAGCAACCACATGGTGGCCCGTGCACCTATGCACCCAACTACATGTAACTGCACCTCGCAGCTAGAATAGCTTCTTCCCTTAGACTTAACAACACCACGAATGCAACCACTTGCCATTCGTACCGAGTCTCACGTGTGCACCCTATTGTGTAACCAACAAGAACCAAATATTGCCGCCTCTTTTAAACCCCTACTCCCTCCTTTCGGTTTCAAAGCCGAAGTCTCTGACGCGAAATGACGTGGGAATTGACCCCCAACTCACTCCACTAGATTATTTAGAGGTTGGAATGCGAAATTACCTTTTCAAAAGAGATCCATATCATAAAATGAGCCTCTCTCAGTACGACTCTATTGGTTAAGAATACGTGAACATGATTTGACGATATACAACTTTCGCAAATGTATACAGGTCGGAATATACCTTTGGAGTGGAAGGGTAGTAAACGGGAGGGTAGTAAACAGGGACCTCGCCTATTTTCCCCCAGACCCTCAGACTCCGCCAATGAGAGCTCCGATACTCGTGCGGCCAGTAAGTATGTTCCCATGTCGCAAATTATCCCAAATATGGAGTCTTAAAGTCAAATTTACGAAATTTAGGCATAGCCAACCATACAGAGCGTTGCAACCCCTTTCCCGAGTTTAAAAAGATCAACGCCTGGGAACATATTCAAAGATCCTGGCCGCACGGGTCGTCCTTGGACGAGACCAAGCTTCTCGGGTAGATTTTAACCTTACTCAGAGATACCAGTTTACGGACACTGCTTCACCACGGTTATATCGATTTGCACAGACTCAAATGTCATTGCTTTGGTCTGGACTCTCTACATGTCCGTGTTTTGGACTGCGATTGGAAACAGGGAGTATCTTCTCGCTCAAATATCACTTCTTGGCACGCAACATGATGGGTTTCTGATGTGATAGATTCGGGAAAGCTAGGCTTTAGATTCGTGACAGCTCTTGCAAGACACACGGTTTCATACTTAGATTTCAATCATCCCATTTACACGGAGAGATTGGCTGCGCCAGAAACGAGAATGCTTTAATCAGAACGGATGTTTCAATTGAATCCTATAGTAGAGGCAAACATCTTCGAGCTGAACTTATGACACGAAGCTTTGATCAACTGAAGCAGCGTGTTCCAGGGAGAGTCAAAGTTAAGCTCAGTCACCGAAGGGTTTGAGCTGGGTGTCATGAGGTAATGCAAAGTAACTATTAGCGCGATCATCTCTATACACATCTGCTAGCTGTCAAACAATCTATGGAGCGATAAACACGATGTCACCTTGATTGTGAAATACATTCGTGGGGACGAAACTGTGATGTATCTTGGCTGAGTTTGAGCAGTCATATGCGACGGGTGAAGAATTCTGTATTCAACGTGGCTGAGTTTGCATACTGGGACATTCTAACATCGTTGCCATATTGAGATAAAAGTAGAAGGAAGATCGGACGATGTCAAGCACAAAGGGGTCACATCATCTGATTCATATCCTTCTGTAGAAATCATCAAGTGCCTACTTAATCTCTCCAGTATCCTTATACTTTGTCTTTATTTTCTTTATCTAAATAAACAATTCCCATTTTAGTACCTCATGTTTGGTTTAATTTGTTTCTCCATCTTCTATTCTACAAAACACGAGCTGCTGGTCAATTTCACCCTAATTTTTACCTACTAGAGATATAAACATTATGAAGTTCATCTCCATCCTCACCCTTTCCCGTACGTATAGTTTCTCCCAATAACTCTCTGATCTGTCAACGACATGAAGTTAACAGTGTTTGGAAGTGCTCGGCACCGCAGTTGCGGCTCCTCTCCACGAACGAGCGGCCTCCATGCTACCCGATAGCAACGGGGTCACTCAACCCACAGGAGCAGCGGCCAAAGCCCCAGGACAAGCAGCAAAGGCAAATGCCCCAGGACAAGCGCCCCCGGGGGCCGCCGGTAAGGCTCCAGGTGCGGCAAAGGCAAATGCACCAGGACAAGCAGCAAAGGCCTCGGGAGCAGCG